GGGAAGGTGTCCCGGCCCATGGCAGGAGGGTTGGAACTGGATGGTCTGTAAGGTCCCTTCCAACCCAAACCAGTCTGTGATTCTGTAATTTCTTGCAGACACTGGAAACATGGAGGTCCTGCACATGTATGGGACTGAAGAGCAAAAGAAAGAGTGGCTGGAGCCTCTCCTGGAAGGGAAGATTAGTTCTTGCTTCTGCATGACAGGTAAATTGTTTTCCAGAAGAATGCTAGAGGTGATTGGCAGAAATTTCACGTGGCATATGCAAAAAGTACAAAACTAGAAGTTGTTATGTGTTAATGAGTTAATACAGAAATTTCCACTGCATCTGTGAATGTGTTTGAATACGAAATGAGCTAAGGGGTGTGAATGCCAAGTGAAGCACCTTTGCTGCTCTTCCCTGATTGCATTTTTTATGGTTACAGTAATTAGTATTTGCTTTCCATGTATTTTCAGTTTATTTTTAGTACTAGAAAAATATATTTTATTGTACCAAACGGGTTTACAATAGAGCTTACCCTTTTTTTGAATGTCCTTTGGGGTTCTCTGAAAACAGACAGTTAGGTACAAGCGTGATTGTTGTGACTGAAGTTATGTGATTTTGCAGGATGTCACAGGTAGAGGTTCTAAGACATAACCTGAAGGGACTTGGAATACATCCTGTGCACTTACTTTATGTCTGTAGCTCAGCGTTAGAGTCATTTTTGCTCTTGGAAACTTGCATCATTTAGCATTTGTGGAAGGTCTGGCCATTGATATGGGAAGGTGGTTTTTGAACTTGTGATGTCAAATCTTGATCTTGCTCTGTCAGCAGGAGTTGAGAGAACTCTGCTTGCAGAGCTGGGCCCTTACTTTGCAAATTCTGTCTCAGTGCATTTGGCAAGAGAAGGAGATGCTTTCACTTTAAACAAGATGGCTTATAGAGGAAATTAAGTGTGAAAGGAGAGAGGAAGAATCTTTCTGGTTCCAAATGATCACTGATGACATTTTGCCAGCAACTGCTTTGTATAACCTACTTCATAAACCATGACAAAAATAGTTTAAATCTCCCTACTTTCACGTGAGAGGAGCCTAGGAAAATAAAGGCCGTGGGGAGAGATGACTTATCTAGAAGTACATTGGAATGAGGGAAGGATTTAAAATCATCAGGGAAGGAAGGAGGCTGCTTAATGTAAAGGGTAGTCTGAGCCCCAGAACAAGTAAGTTTAAACTGGCTCTGAATAACAGGTTGTTAGAAGATAGAAAGAAAGCCTGTGACCACCAGCGGAGCCAGGTTCTGGAAACAGCTCGTCTACTGGGAGCAAAAGTGTATTACTATTTTCAGAGTACATCTAGGTTTCTATATATGTTGTGGTAGTACCACCTGTATACTTAACCCTGTGGTTTGTTTCGTCCTTTGTTTTTTAAATACAGAACCTGATGTGGCTTCAAGCGATGCCACTAATATGCAGTGCGCCATTGAGCGAGATGGAGACAGTTACGTGATCAGTGGCAAGAAGTGGTGGAGCAGTGGTAAGTACGGAAACCCCAAAAAAGAATGGTTAAGTCCAAGATTCTTTCCAAGAATTGATACAACAGAAATCGTTGTGCTTCTGAGATGGAAAATTGTCTCTTCTTGAGTAAACACAAGAGAATGTAAACCAACAGAAAGAGCAGAATCGAGCTGTTGTTCTGTGAAGTCCGAGACTTGAATCCAGTTTGGGGTTTTGGCCCCTTTTTAGAACCTCTGAATGTAGTGCACAGAACAAATGCTGCTATTTTCTTTAAAGTATACCTCTTGCCATCGGGTAACCTACATAGTTTAGGCCGCAGCCTTCACGCCGTGTTTTTATGAAGCTGCCCTTGGCAGCCTGTGTGTGAGGTTTGAGTATACTCTGTACTTACAGCAAAATTTGGCTGCTTTTTAAACTAATCTGTGATGCAGTTGGACTGACTGTTACAGGTGATTGTCTTACACTACCCAGAAAAATCAATGGATTGTGCTGTAAGTGGTAAATGTCCCTGGTACTGTAGTGCTGTTACTTTTCTACCAAAACGTACGTGACAGCGACTTGAAGCATCATCGATCCCTGGGAGTTTGGGACCAACTAAATAAACTGAGCTGCTAACTGGAGTGAAACTTGAACGTTTGATTTCTGTGCCTTTGAGTGTGGCAGCTACCTACTGACACATGCTCGTGTAATACCAAGCCTCACCAGCAGGTAGGGCGCTCTCTCTTTCCTAGCACTGCAGAACTGGTGGCAAAAGGAGGTGTGGGATCTTGCCTTTTGACTGGAGTGTCATGTAACTGCTGGCTGCTACCCGTGCCCCTGGTCAGCGTCTCCCAGCTGTGCCTTGCAGTTCCTAAAGAAGTAATGGGAAAGTCTGTAGGAGGTCACGCACACAAAATCTTACTCATAAAATTAGTTCTGTGGGTTATAAAAAGGGGAGTAGACGAGAGAGTAATCATGAATTGGTTTGTCTTGTTTCTAATAACAGTAATTAAGACAGATGCACAAAAAGCGCTGCAGATTCACATATGTGAAGCTCTGTCTCAGTCACAGTCTCCTTTCTGCCTGGTTGGTTTTTGGGGATTTTTGTTGTTGTTGTTTGTTTCGGTGTTTTTTTCCTTTTTGCTCTCAGTGGGACATTAGGACTTTGGATGTTTGGGTGTTCCAAAAGCCTGACATCCCGGTCAGAGTGTCACCCTGGGTGGAACCACTCTGTATTTGTGAAGACAGGTCGTAAATCACACATGCAAGGAGCCAGTTGCTTTGTGGGAGAACTGGAGTTTCTTACTGTGCTCTGCATGGGCACTTTGCGCATCTACAGTGAATTTGGCATGGCTTAAACACGTCAGGTTTGCGGCCTCTGCGTAGACCATCTGCCAAGCACCGATGACTTACCCGTTCACGCCCTAGTATTTCCCAAAGTACAGGACAGAAATTCTGTAAGCTTTTGTCATCCAAGCAGAGAAGAGAGGCTTGTGCCTTGTTGATGCTACTGTTGTTTCTTGTCCGTCACTGTGGAGCTTTTTCTTCCAGTCCCTAATTGTGTAACTAGGAATGGTGTCTAAAAATGAGATGATCTCATTGGAATTCATAAGCTGTAGATCAGGAATTTTGTCAGAGCCCATGGGATGTTTGAAGGCAGGGACAGTATGCTGTAATACCCCTTTTTGCATTTTGAAAACTAATATGTCAGTATATTTGAAATACTTCCAGAGCGTCATGTGAAACTGCTGTTTTCCTTTAATCCTTGGCAGCACTGTGGCAGGGGACAGCTTTGGTACCTCTCCCCGGAAAAACTGTAAATGGCACCAGCCTTGAGCTCCATAGGAGGTCAGAACCTCTCTCACTCACCACACAAGGCCTCTAGCCTCTGCTGGTGGATAAATGCCTCTGGTGAGAGGTGGCAATTCCTGCTAAACCAAAACAACCATCACGATATGAAGAGATGAAAGCCAGTGCGCTTTTTGTGTTCTTTGGTTTTATTTTATCTCTATATATTTGAGCAGGTACAGTTACTGCAGTGTTTGATTAATTTGAAAAATCCTGACTAGAATTGCAGACCTTTTATCTGAAGATTAACTTTTTCTTACCTTTCTGCTAACGCTCTGCCTGCTCTACTTTGGCATTTACATTTGATACGACATTTACAGGGATACAGAATGTTCCTCCCGTCGAGCACAGGGCTTCGTAAAGTTTAGGGTGAGCAGAAAAGGAAGGTGAGAGGTCATTTCTGGTAGTTTTAGAGAAGGAGTTCCTGCTATTTTGTGGAGGATGTTGTTGTTGCTCTATGTGTGTGGAAACGCGCACAATTGCTCACTCTCTGCCCCCTCAGTTCTCAGCCATGAACGGATACCTCGTGCCAAGTTCCAGGGTATCTATGGAATGATAGCTGAGGAAAAAAATGGAACAGACTTAGTAGGCAAAAGTCCTAAAGTTGTACAGACTAGTTGGAGAAAACACCAGATTAACTTTTGGTACAAAAGTTCCTGTACTGCTGCTTTATCACTGATGGTTTCTTTTTCTGCGTTAATTAGATGTTTAGACATGTACAGATTGTTCATTACACAGCTATTTAAATCTGGGGGATTTTTTTAGGTGTTTGGATTTTTTTGTGGTTTTATGGGGATTTTTGGGCTTTTTTTTTTTTTTCATAGTATCTCTGGTTGTTGTTTCTAGGAATTTCAGTATTTCATTCTTGCCATTGTGATAAACGTGTTCCACTTTGAACTGCATCGGAGTGTCTTGGCTCATCTGCAGGTTCAGAAATTAATCTGGAAGTTGACTTGCAGACAAACAGCTCCTGAAGCAGTACCCTTGGCAGCAGTAATTCATTCCCCTGTTTTTTTAAGGTGATGGAAGTCATGGAGAGCCTAGATAGTGAAACTAATTGTTTCTTCGGTGTGGTCGTCATAATTCATAGAAATTTCCTCAGGCCTTCCATTCTGTTGTTGTCGCCTCCAGTATCCGTAATTCTTTGCGATCTTCGTAATATGCATTTTAAAAGAGGCACCCAGGAAGGCATAGAGGAGAGGGTTGAGGCAGGTGTGAAACAAAGCGACGCTC